CGACGCTTGCCCGGAGCTTTACACCACAATGATTGAGCTCCGAACACCACCAACCGTCTAGGGCGCCCAAGCACCCAAGAGGAACAAGCTCAAGGGCACCAAGCACCCAAGAGTAATAAGCTTCTCAACTTGTAACTTCCACGTATCACCATGGAGAACTCAAACGATGCACCAAATGCAATGGCAAGGGCACACAGAGTGCCCAAGTCCTTCTCTCTCAAATCCCATCGAAGCAACTAATGCTAGGGAGGAAAATGAGAGGAAGAACAAGAAGGAGAACACCAAGAACTCCAAGAACTAGATCCAAGGGGTTCCCCTCACATAGAGGAGAAAGTGATTGGTGGAAATGTGGATCTAGATCTGCTCTCTCTTTTCCCTCAAAAACTAGCAAGAATCCATGGAGGGATTGAGAGTTAGCAAGCTCGAAGAAGGTCAACAATGGGGGAAGAACACGAGCTCAAAGGATATTTCTCAATGGGGAAGAAGACCCCCTTTTATAGGTGGGGAGAAAAACCAACCGTTATCCCCTCACTCAGCCCGCACGACGCGGTACTACCGCAGGGAGCTGCGGTACTACCACGGTTGGCTGCGGTACTACCGTTGCAGGTTGCGGTACTACCGCATGTGCAGCTCTGGCCAGATGAAGGTCTGTTGCACAGGCAACGAGCAGTAGAATCGCCGGAGTGGTACTACCGCGCGCCCCTACGGTACTACCGTAAGGCAGGCAACACTAGGCGCAGAGAAAGCACGGAAGTAAAAAAACTTACTTCCATACCTACTTCCGCTGAGGAGGACCTGCGCAAAACTCCAGCACGGTACTACCGCACACGAAGAGCGGTACTACCGCATAGGGCGCGGATGTAAAAAATTACATCCGCCCCTACTTCCGCTCATGCTGCTACGCCTGGCCAGAGCCCACGGTACTACCGCGCTCGCGGCACGGTACTACCGCGTACGGCGCGGATGTAAAAAATTACATCTGCCCCTACTACCGCTCGAGCAGTTGCGCCTGGCCGGAGGCCACGGTACTACCGCTCCAACAGAGCGGTACTACCGCAAGGGCCTGCGGTACTACCGCTCCGAAGAGCAGTACTACCGCATGCTCCAGATCAGCAACACTAGGAGTCCTTCATTTTGCAGAGAAGACAACAGAGGGTAACAATAAAACCAGAACTGCCATAACTTCTGCAAATGAGCTCCGAATTGAGCAAACTCAAGCTTGTTGGATACAAGACAACGAGTAGCATCAAAACAGAGACTGGTTATAGTAAGAAGAGGCAGGGGAGGTATACCTAACAAGAGAGGAGAGAAACCTCCAACAGAGAAGAACCGGCATACCCTCCAACATCGAAAACATCATAGAAGACGCATGTGAACTCCGTTTTCGATGAACTCGAGCTTGTCATAAAAATGACCAAAAGCTCAGAAACTCACAAGGAGAAGAACCAAACAAGAACCAATAAGGATGATGCAAGGATGCAATGGTTTGAGCTCTCTACGAACGATGCGATCAAGCAACTCATCGAGAGCCCCCCTTGATAGTACGGCAATCGATCCTATAACCCGGTCTCCCACAACTACCATGAGACCAGTAAAATAGAAAACCTATCAAGGGCAAACCTTTGCCTTGCACAAAGTCCACTTGAGCTAGATGATGATGATCTACTACTCCTCAAGATGGACCACCTTTCTTGATTGCGTTGGCTCGATGAAGACTAGTTGATTGCTCCCCCATACTCCACTATGGGTGAGCCACTCTTCCGCTCATCTTCACAAGTCCATTGTCACCACAATGGACGGCAAGCTTCAAGCACTTGATCTCTTCGTGATACATCACTTGAACTTGCACACCGCAACCTAACCCCACAAAGAACTCTCACGAAGACCATGGGTTAGCACACAAAGCGTAATCGACAATGCTTACCATACCATGGGACTTGATCCCTCGGTACATCTTGTGCGCTTTGTGTGTTGACTCTTTTCAACTCTCTTCACTGGGATGATGTCTTGAAGGTGGACATGAATGATCACACAATCTTATTCTTCAAGACATGCTTGCAATAAGCTCAACACTCACATGACCGATCTTTGGATAATTCCTTAATAGCAGTGTGGTCATCACAAACTCTCCTTGAAACCAACAAATGGACCCCAAGAAAAGCCTATGGACAAACCCTTCAAATGTAACTCAAGGAAACCATTAGTCCATAGAGATTGTCATCAATTACCAAAACCAAACATGGGGGCACCGCATGTTCTTTCATCTTGTCCATCTTATCAAATGACAACACATATCCATGGTTAGGAAACCTTAACCATCTTTGATCAACAAGCTAGTCGAGTAGAGGCTTACTGGGGACACGGTATTTGTTTATGTATTCACACATGTATTTAAGTTTCCGATCAATACAGTTCTAGCATTAATAATAAACCTTTATCATGAATAAGGAAATAAAAAATAACAACTTTATTATTGCCTCTAGGGCATATTTCCTTCAGTCTTCGTTGTTGAGGGATGCTTGCTCTTTTCATTCTTCTTGCATACCACATTGTTGATTGTATATATTTTGCTTTTAGACACTCCAACAGCTCTGGATATAGAGGTTCAAGACTGGCATGAAATGTTCATGTCGAGATATCTGCTGTGGCATGATTATCTCTTCTCATGAGATCCATGCTCTACTCAATTTGTCAAATGTATTCGACACTCTGGAACACTAATCCAAATTGTGGAAAGATATGATTTCATAAACAGAAGTGATGGAAAACCTCTGGTTTAGATAGTTGCAGAACTTGTGACATGGCACATTATTTGCATAATACCCTATTCCCCTCCACCACTGCACCTTAGGCCCTTAAGGTAAGAAATGTCCAATTCACTTCTATGTTCTAGGGGTGTTATAGGAGCTTTAAAATATTGCTCTAAATTATGAATCCAATAGACAACTTTTCTTCCTCAAATTCACAGATATTCTATTTAGAAGGCTTGACTATCAAAGGAAATCTTCTACTAGACATAGGCATGGGAGGTCTGTACCTCCTCATGCTTACTTCAAGAATTTCCTCTTCCATATAATCTTGACAATCAACATGATGTCGTTGTGTTTGTTCTTGAGGTCAGACAACATCTTGTTTGTATTTGCCATAATTGGGATGCTTATAGGGGACTTTGGGAGTATCATACAATTCAACTTCTTCCCAATACCATATGCTTTTATAGAACTGTCTGTGGAGAAGGCAGCTGTTTGGGCATGCCTGTTGTACCTAGAGGAATAGTTTTGTTGTGAACACCCCCTTGTGTTGATTGCTCGCCTGGTTCCTCCTCCTCATCCTCAGGTTCATGGTCCAATAATAAACGCCTAACATTAGCATGTACTGCCTCTGTAAATTAATATGAGACTTTTTAGATCACTACTTTAGTGATCTTAAAAAAATCTTATATTCGTTTATTGAGGGAGTATCTCTCAAAATTCTTATGCATTGTAACAAATTTTTTTGTTGACTGTAGCTTGGAACTCCTGAAATTTCTTTGTACCCTCCTCACGGTTTCTCTGCAAGGTCTTGACATCTAGCTCTCATGATTCGAGCTCCAGATTTGTTCGTGTGATTCTGTCACTTTCATCATCTCGAAAGAAGGGAAGACCGGTTGAAGTTACCTTACTACAGAACAAGGTTGGGACGGAGGGTTTTGGTCGAGCTTCTTGTTCTCCCAAACCTCCAAGGTATACCGTCGTCGCTACCGCCGCCCGCAGCCGGTGATGCACGATCAGCCACCAGGAGCTGGGATTTTATCAATGAAGAAATTTTCTTCATCAACCAGTTCTGCACAACCAACCGCACCTGAATATTTGCCACTCAGTCCGCCACCCCGAAGCCTTGCACGCCCCCACCGGAACCCTAGCCTCAAAGTGGGATTTTATAGGAGTACCTAGTGAGACCCCAAATCCAATCGCCTCCGAGAATCAATGGCTCTAGATACCAATTGTTAGGAACTAGCTATCACTAACTAGAGTTAACACAAGAAATTTGGCTATTCAGAGCAAGATTCCCTCAGATCGCTAGGGGTTTATATTGCAAGAAAGGGGAAGTAGGTGCTGTAGCATGCTATGACGGCTAGGGTTACAACCATATTAACCTCCAACGAAAGGAAAATGGTGGCTTTATAGCCATTACAGCTCGAGGAGCAGGTGAAGAGCAAACCGAAAAGGGGACAAGTTACTGGGCACTAAACAACGCGTGGAGGAGCTTGGGGATGAGCATCCGATCTACGATCAATGGCCGAGAACGAATCCGAAGTGGGTGACCCGGTATGCTGCAATGTGAGTCGTCCGATGAGAAATGAACCGTCACGCGCGACCACAGGAGCGCAGAAATAGTAGAATCCAAATGAACCGTCACGCGCGACCACAGGAGCGCAGAAATAGTAGAATCCAAATGAACCGTCACGCGCTACCACGGAAGCTCGAGGTATCTAACCTTTGTCCGCTATGTGCAATGGAACCGGAGGACACGTTTCACACATTCTGCAGGTGTCTCACACATTCTGCAGGTGTCCGTTGGCTGTCGCATTGTGGAACGCCATGGCGGAGCAGTGGCCTCTGCGAACTTAGCTACGCTGAGGAACACGGGGTCCGAGTGGCTTTTTGATCTGCTGTATGAGCTCAATGAAGAGGAGCGCATGCGAGTGCTTATGGTGTTATGGCGGAGCTGGCATGTAAGAAACCAGATTGTCCACCACAAATCACCACCTCCAATTGAAGCATCACGCCGCTTCCTTCTCAGTTATGTGGACTCCCTTCGTTGCATCCAACAATTCCCTACAGCCGATTTAATCAAAGGTAAAATGGTGCTTCCGCCTATTGGCTACAGTTCTTCAAGCATACACCGCCAGTGCAGCATACCACCATTACCCAGTGGTCTCTCCCGTCGGCCGGATGTGTCAAGCTGAACGTGGACGGATCGTTCGTCGAGACTGATGGTGGCCTGGCGGGAGCCGGCATATGATCCTTCGCGACAGCGACGGCAACATCGTCTTCTCCGCTTGCCACTCCATACGACACTGCTCCGGACCTCTTCAAGCTGAGCTTTTGGCATGCCATGAGGGTTTGAACCTTGCTCTTCAGTGGTCTACTCTCCCAGTGGACATCGAGGTGGATTGCATGGATGCAGTCAGGTTGATCAAGTCGCCCACTCTTGACAGATCACCTCATATGATGTTAGTTCAGGAAATTAGAAGGCTCTTTGGTGAAAGGGATAACTCTATTGCTCATGTAAGTAGGAACCAGCACGTTGTCAGTCATACCCTTGCTGGATTCGGACGCTCGGAGGGCCGGACTGCAGTATGGTTGCGCTCTGGGCCTGCAGATGTTCCTCTGCTTTGTAGGAACGAACTCATCATGCGTTGAGTAATGAAATCCCTTTTAACCCCGCAAAAAAAAAAAATTAGGCTAGAATCTGACAGTAGGCAGGCGCGCAGCATAGATCCAGATGCAGCAGATATACGATCTCGCCGTCTCTGCTCGCCAATAGCAGCCCCATCGAACCGAATGAAAAGAGGCCTGCCCCGTCGCGTCCATTATTAGAGGTGGGGGCAAAAAAAACTATCACATGCAGTTTGCAGCGCATCGTCCATTTGCACGGCGCTCCTGGACGGCCGGGGAGGACAGTCCCGAAGCCCGGTTCCGAGGGAGACGCCGCCAGCCTATTTTGCGCGGGAAAGGAACGGACGAGGTTCCCCTGCTGCAGTATAAAACGAGGGGCCTCCCCTCCACCTCGATCACCACCCTCCCGTCCATTTCCACCTCCGAGTCTCTCCTGGTGGTCGCGGCTTCCTCCTCGCCTTCGATCTCCTTCGCCTCGTGCCCGGCGGCCAGTCGGGCAGTCGTCTGAATCCTTCCTACTCGCGCGGGCTAGCTCGATGGCCATGGCGAACCCCACGGTGCGTGCACGTTATACTGTATCTCAGGTTCGGGCGGTACATACAATTGATCTGTGGCTGATGTGGTTGGTTCCCCTGTCGTGTGTGTGGGCAAGAAATCCGGACACTACGCGCAGAACAAGGGCCGGTCGCTGCCCAAGTTCGGGGAGTGGGACGTGAAGAACCCGGCGACGGCCGACGGCTTCACCGTCATATTCCAGAGAGCCCGTGACGACAAGAAGACGACCGCCGGCCCCGGGAGGCCGGGCATCCCGCCGGCCTTCAGGAACGCCGACGGCGGCTACGGCACCATCAAAACCGGCTACGGCTACAAGTACACCAGGGTGGCGACACCCAAACGGTCCAAGGTAGGAGTACGTGCGTGCGTTCTCTGCGCGCGCAACGGGCGTGCTTTGGTTTATCGCGTGCATTGACGCCACGAACTTTTGTCCGCAGAAGAAGAGCTGGTTCTCCTGCACCAGCTGCCGATTCTGATGCCGTAGCTGCTTGCCGTCGTTGGTGAGAGAGATCCGATACTTCGCCGCGCCACGACCAGAAGCACGCACTCCGGGAGGCGACGGTGGAACTTTTGGCGATCTTGGCGTTTTTGTCCCTGCTCGGTCGCCGCACTTGGCGTGCAGAGCATCATCGACAACTGATGGCTCCCGTTCATATGTACGAATAATTTGTGGCGAATAAAAGGGGGGAAGTGACTAGTAAAGTAAAACGACCTGTGACTTGTTACCCTATTCTTTTCCAAATGTTCATGCTAATCATGCCATAAACACCAACTGTTCGCTGCACCACCACAATTCATCTGGCCTGGCACCTGGCACCTGGCAGACATTGGATTTCAAAACTATTATATAAAAAACATCAACAGCTTGAACAGACACAGCGAGTAAAAAGCACTGCAAAAAACAAAAAAGGTATCCATAGTATTACATATTGTGCATACGAGAATAATAATCTGCTGTCTGAATTCCGGTCAAAATTTTAGTACTACTAATAATAGCACCACCTAGAGGAATAATGAACAAGTATCAGAACCGGATATCACCAATAATCAGTTATTTACCGGACGCGACACAGTACAACCCGGCACCGTGATTGCAGAAAGAAAGAGATGTCTACTTTATCAACATGCTGCGCCATATGCCGCCAACAGACGAGTACAGTGACACCATAACAACAGACCTCCAAAAAATTCCGAGGCAAGACAAGCTCGAGCAGCTCGACTAGACCATGTTCAATTCAAGCGACCACTTTTGCATCTTGGGCGCAAGGCAGGGCAATCTAATGCAAATTGTACAGCAGAATATCAATACATCAGCCCCTGAGCTATTTAGACAAGAATGGTCTCGCCGGTTCCCCAAGCACCTGCACTGCACCTCCATGAGATCACAAGCCATCCCGTCATCGAGCACCATGGTGAACAAAACTGTGATATACCGCTACCCCCGGATCCACTATTTCTCCTGACTTTCCTCCTTTTCCTGCTTCTGTTCACCCAGGGGAGATTCCACATTAGCGCTTCCATCAGCTGGTTCAGAATGGCCAGTTGAATTGACATCCGGCGAATGTGGTAATGTCTTTTCTATTGTGGTATCAGGAGCCGAGGATTCAACCAAATTCTCACTTCCTTGTTCTTCTCCTACTTGTCCTGTACCGGGCATAACGCCATCAGTGGCACCCATCACCTTCTCACTTCCAACCTCTCTACTTGGAACAGCAGTATTCTCTGATACCTCGCCAGGTTCAGCATCTTCCTCCGTCCATTCAACACACTCAGCTGGACTCTCTTTTACATCAGGAGTTGATGGTCTGATGTCATTTTCCAATTTATCAACGGGGCCATTTGACAGTACTGTTTGACCAGACCCTTCATTTAAGTCCCTGTCTGAGGTTGCTAAAAGTGAATCCGAGCCTTTTGTGTCATCTATAGGGTCACCAAGAATGACTTCATCCATATCGTCGTCATCCACATTTGGTGAAGGCGACTCCAAATTTGCTGAAAGGGAAGCTTCTGGGCCATCGTTCAGTGCTTTATCCTCATCAAACGCGAACCAGTTGGAGTTTGTAAACAGGGAGCCACTGCAAAGCATATTTTTCATCAGCCAGTTCATTTTGCCGACACCAAATGGAATGTACTTGTGAAAAGATATAGCCAATTTGCATGGACAAGAAAATACCTATCAGGATCGTCACCAAGACGAAGAGAGTTAATAACTACTTCAGCAGCTTCATCATCAAAATACACATCCTACAGCAGATAGTAACAACCAAAACAAAGATAATCACATTACATGTAACAGGAAATATAAATATTGTCATGCTATCAGATACTAGTACTCCCTCCGTTCCTAAATATAAGTCTTTGTAGAGATTCCACTAGAGACTACATCCGGAGCAAAATGAGTGAATCTACACTAAAATGCATCTATATACATCTGTATGTGGCTCATAGTGAAATCTCTACAAAGACTTATATTTAGGATCGGAGGGAGTATATAATAGTGCATGAACTTAAGCAAGCAAAAGGCAATATTGTCATGTTATCAGATACTGTATATAATGGTGCATGAACTTAAAGCAAGCAAAGGTTAGCATACCTCATCATCCCGCTCTTGTGATGCTTGAGCCTGCATACATACCCACAAAAGAGTTAAAATGAATCTGAACATGGCATGTACTCCCTCTGTAAACTAATATAAGAGCGTTTAGATCAATATTTTAGTATTCTAAACGCTTTTATATTAGTTTACGGAGGGAGTACTGTGTAAACTCATAATCGGTAGAATATCACTATACGCTGAAGATCTAATACATAATTTTAGCTTTATACGTTGTAGGAAATGTTAGAATTTGGAACAAACACTGGTCCAAACATTATTAAACAGCAATAAGTCTGCGTATATACTATTCTATGATCTAAAGAAGTACTCACAAAAACTGACCCATTATACAAATTAGATGAGTATGAAAGATCTGAAAAACTACATGACAAATCAAAGGATCAAATACGACTGTTCTATACTAAGTGATTAGCTATACCTTCACAGAACTAGTGGTATTTAAGAAGAAAATACTGACCTCGTCAACATCTTCACTAGGGTAAATACCATATTTGAATGCCTGGCTCAGATTGCTAGCAAGTGCAGCCACATCATAGTCCCTATCTCGGAAGTCTTCGTCGTCACTGTCCCTACCTCGATCCTGCATCGATGTAGGTCGGCTAACCAAAGAAATATTTCAGCAGATGACTTTCCCCATATAATGCAGGACATTTAACAAAGCAAGTAAGTTAAGCACATACATGAAGTCTGGACACTGGAATAACACACCAGAAAAACATAGATGAAATGCATGCATAATTGCATTAGTCTTGCCCTTTTTGAAGTTTTTAAGGTCATATGGGCATGCAAGGCATGGGTTACCGGAATAGTGGTTCCTCTATTTGAGGAAAACTCGGTCACCTTCAACTGATTATTATTAGAAGTGAAAGTGAAACATGACGCTACTTTTCTTTCATGCAATTGTGTCGTAGCGAAAGTTTTTTTGAAGCAGTGTCATACACACAAGATTCGATGTGTAATTTGATCATAAAGAATAGTCATATGGCCATCTAAATAAAAAGGCAGAACAACTGGGCAGTAGGCAGTAGCTATGGAGCAAAAAATGATGACAACTGTTTGCAACCAACATCAACAATTCAGACAGCCTAATTGTGCAGAAACAGAACATTACTGATAAAAGTTCCTCTGACAAAAGTGAGTGACTGACAAGTCAATAAATATGCATAATACGCTTTTGGAGATCAGAGCAGCACTGACGTGTATCATTTTCATTTAACAAAGCACAGCATTATGATTCATATGGAAGCGACATGAAAAAACAACTCAACACAGAACGTATGATTCAATTTAAAAAATGATGTGCAAATACAGAGCTACAGAAGATGGTTAGGTAAAAGAGAAGTCAGGTGATACTTACCCACAAGCCCATTGGTAAACATTTTCTACCGCGTTACGCTTGGTTAGGATACTAGCATGCCACTCGGTCCAACCAGAATTTTGCTGCAATCCAAGTGTAACAAAGTTCAATGTAATGGGCTCAACCAAAGCTCAGTGCAGGCCATATAATAGCGACAAGGTAAATAAACAAAGAAATTTTGGCAAGATGTTATTGCATGTCTACTATAGTGCCCATCACACAAGGGATCCAATAAATAACTAGCCAGGGAAATAGTAGCCAAATTTCCATCCACAATTAATTTAAACCTGCAAATGTGACTGTATTGTGCTGTTGCTGCTGGCCAGCTGAATGAGCTTGTTGGCTATGCGTGTAATATGACCAACAAATCCAACCCTTGGTGGAGTTCTTCCATCCGAAGATAGGGTACGCTGCAAGGAGAGTAAGAAATGAATATTTCAGCGGGAAAAGTAATAGAACCATCAGCTGATTCAGAGTAAGAAATCAATAGTGACA